AATGAGAGAGATATGAGAGAGAGATTGGAGAGAAAATTGAAGAACAAGAGAGAAAGTGAGAAAAAAATGTGTGTATCAAAGAGAATGGTGGCTGAAATTCACTAAAGATAAAACAAAGGAAAGTGTGAGAAAATAGCCAAGTGGTTGTGCATCTTCATGCTACCATGCGACTTGCACAATTTTGGAGGGAAATGGCGATAATGCCAAAGCTTGTCTTGATTCAATGTGCTTCACCGTACTTGTCACGCCGTGAAAAAAAAGAGTGACTAGCACAATATGTGAATTATATAATTCACCTTTGTAAGCCTCTAATCTTAAATTCGTTCCATTTCTAAATTGTAATCAAATTTACATTGAAATTTAACGCTCCTAATATAGGTCATTATAATAAAGTTTCAAAATTTTTTATAAAAATTTTGATAGAACCTCCTTTATAAATAGAATCTTTCAAAACTTTACAATACAAAAATATTTTCAAAATCTCATGTCAATTAGGAACTTAGCTCCTTCTAGTCAACAGACAACATATATACTAAAATAGAAGCCCTTGATATAGCCTATATGGAGCACCTAACTAGACTTCTCCAAAAATAAAATATATAAACATTTATAATTACATCAAAAGAAAAATTTTGATCAGTTCTTCACTCAGTACGTCTAAAAGTTCTTAGGGGTCAATAAGAGGATTGGCATCAGCTAAGGTATCTGAGACCAAAAATAATTTTTTTTAGTAAATAACGTCCCAACAATAAATAATTGATCATAAATAAAAAGGAAAGTTCAACATGATTATGTAAGTTAAAAAGACAACAATTTTCATATAAATTTAATAAGTTTTACAATAAAATGACTCTATAAAATTTAAATAAAACCTTAAACTATTGAACAATCAGAACAGTTGTTATTATTACTTGATTTCAAGAAGGCACATAAATGAAATAAATACTTATAAATAAATTACTAAATAAAAACCAATGAGATACAAAATCACCAACTAATCAAATTTACAATTATAAAGACTTGTTAAAATAATTAACAAACAATAACACACAGTTCACGAGAGTAAATAACCAAATGCGGTTTATGTTATGAAAACAAATGTGGATATATATTCCACGAGGGCAAGTAACTAAATGCAGCTTAAGTTACGAAACAAATGTGGACATATAGTCCACAAGGGTAATTCTAACCAAATAAGGCTCGGAGCCACGAAATTAAATGCAGGTGTTAAACCCACGAATAATAAACATGAGAACAAAGCTCATGAAATTCAAACTAGTTAGTCATCGACCAAAGTGCCAAGGGCTAACGGAACTGCTATTAGCAACTAGTGTCCTAGATAAAGTCCCTTTGAAATTCGATTTCAAACATGTGAGAAAATTATCTGTAATAAATAAAATTTTTATTTTCAAAGTCAAACTCGCATGAATCATTCTCTCTATCAATCCAATATTTGATAAAATAAAATTTCGTAATCAAAGTCCAAACTTGTATTTATTATTTAACTAACATTTCAAAATTGATAAAGGTAATTCCATAAAATATAGGAGTTTAATAAACAAATGATTTGCATAAAAAATGTAATATTTTAGTAAAGAAAATTTTTATTGAAAAATCAATTGGGATACTATCCACTTATCTGGTGTACTCCTAAGTCTTACAACTTACTTCAAATAGGCTGCTTTTGTAAAACTCACACTCTAAGATTCCCTAATACCCAAAGTAACACCATTGACATTTTCACTCCACAACTTTGTAAAAGCATACAAATACTCTTTTAATAAAATTCTATAATTAACATCATTTAGAAAGTAGAAAGGGATTCTTAACATCAATCATTTTGTATATAAGATGACACCATGAGTTTGGCATATCATTTTCCATAACACATGTATATATGCAAAATCCATACTTCCTGCCACACTATCTCTATGTATATATCTCCAACAACATTTATGTTCCTATATATATATATATATATATAAAGTTCAAACAATCATAATTCCTATCAATTCCCCTTTGAAAAATTCTATCAAACACCTTGGGTGCATCAAGGTTGAATTTATAAATAAGCATCAAACATGGTCCCTAATATTTCCTTCAATCCGATTCCATCATATGAGCATAACAAGTAGCATCAACACTACCTCTTACTTTCTAAAATTTAGCAAAATATAATAAATTCATAATCACAAAATTTCAACACAAATGCTAGATTTATATAAATTCTCCTAGAATTGATTCTAGTTTCAAAAGCCCAAACGGAAAGACTAAAAAAAAAAAAACACTTCTATTCCTACTTTCTCAAACCCACGGTCAGTACAAAAGATGAAGTATTTAACATCTATACACACTTAGGAAATAGAAAGGAAGAGAACATTCGGGAAAAGGAGAAAAAAGAAAAAAAAAACATCCACACCAAGAGAATCACACGGCCATCGGAAATTTATAAACTAACAGCAAATTTAACAAGAAATAGCAGGGAAAAGGAGGAGTTTTTGAACCCACAACCCTAGATCAACTCACAATGTTACAAAGAGGGATTCGAATATTCATACTTCAAACAGCAATGACAAAACAGAGAAGAAGCAAGATAGAAGGACGCTAGTGCACAAATAAGAAGGAAGAAGATGACCCTCATGCACCCAACAGCAGCGCAAAAGTGGAACGGAGAAGACGACAGCAAATTTGGGCGTCCGTGCATCACCAAAAGGAAGAGGATGAGGAATCATTGATGAGGCAGGGGAGAGGAAAAATTCAAAAATCAGACCCCAAGCACGGCAGATAACGGCGGTGCACTTACCCATGTTGGCGAACTGGGCAGCAAAGGAAGAAGGAGAACGAAGATTAAGGGAGGCAAGGGTTTTTGATTAAGGTTCTCTCCACTGTCGGTAACTCACACTCACAGAGTTGAGGAAATGGGGAAAAGAAAAAGAAACCCCCGGGCGCACGTTTTGCTTATTCTCATATGTATTCGTGTGTGTGTGGGTGTGTGTGTGTGTATTTCATGAGGGACATATTGGTAATTTTAGGAGATTGTGGAACAAAATAAAATTCCTCCCCTTTGCACCAGGATTCGAACTAAAGATCTGGAGGTAAACACCAATGAAAACTAAGCCACCAAGTTTACCTTGATAAGTTTTCTCTAAAAGAATATACATAGTATAATTAAAATACCTTACTATTAATTTTAATCAAACTTGAATCTTTGGGTTATTATAGAACTAAACTTAGCATATGCCCTTTGCCTTCTCATTTGTAGTGCCATTTAGCATATAAAGTGACTAATTGATTAGTCTTGCCATATATCTTCATTTCTTCATTAATTCCATATGTTACAAGGTAACAAAATAATCAATTCAACCATAGTGTGACATTATTTAATTCCAACCTCGGTCTGAAATATTTAATTCAAAGTAGGTGAAATATTAACTCTAGGAATTTGAACTAAGATGCACGTGAAGACATTAGTGTAGAGATGTACACACTTGATGGATCCAAGCTAAAAGCAAAATAAAACCTCTAAGAGAGACAATTGTAAAGTATGTCTTTTCCAAATAATTTCCAACTTAGATTGAATCAAAGAAGCGTGATTTCACCAATCACCCTGGCATATTAAAGACATAATCTCAATTCTTAAATAGAAGATTTGGAAAAATTTCATTTTATGCCAAAAATGCTCCTAATGTAAGTTAGCATACACTTAGGCAAATATACACAAGAGATTCTTAATGACTCTAGTAAATGCATAAATGGTTAATTTAAGCTCTGAAATGTATGCAAATCATGAGTGTTATCACTTGGGATGTGTCTTTTGCAATGTATGAGTGATATGGGGCCAAAATATTAGGACAAGGGCATGTTAGATAGTATTTCACTTGGTTATACTATAAAATTGCCATTTGGCACAATGTATGATGCTTAAAGTATTTGAACTCATTTTGATTGAAATTGGGGATTTTTATTGGCCAAATCTTGTTTGAGTTGCATTATTGCTTGTGTAATTGTTTAATCAAGTGCTGGTTGGTTCATTAGCATGGTTCAAGGTTCAGTTGAGGCTAATGGCCAATGGTTTAGTTTTGGAACATTTGGTTTCACTTTGCTCTTGGAAAGGTGACAATTTCTTATTTGGATGTCTAATTTTTATATGAGATATTATTTTGGACTGAAACTAATGCCATTAACTTGGTAATTGAATAAGTTTCCTGTAAATACTAGAAACCCAATTAGACATTGGACGATGACACGACTCACTTTGGAAATGCATCCCATCATATTGTCATGATAGCAAAATGCTATCATGAATTGCATAATGTGTTGTGGTGCATAGTGTCTACATTGTGGCCTATGACATAGCATGAGTAGTGACACTTTATGTCATCCACCATGGCAGATGACACAGCTTCAGTCACAATGCATGGACCAATTTGGGAGGAAATGACTTTTGCCCTAGGGTCCTTGAGTGATCTTTCCCTAGCCATGTATTGCCATGCTTCCTAAGTGTTTTAAATAAATACTGTTTTATATTTTCGTTTGAGGTCAAACATTTGTAACAAAGGGTTTAAAAATTGGATCTCAATTCTAAATGTCTTTTGTAATAATAAATCTTTAAGCTTTTTTTATCATGGTAGCCCAAAGAGGATTAATCAAATCCTAATTACTTTGATAACTTGATTGTGTGTGGATTATTTTAGTAATGTTAAGTGGATATTACAATTTGAATTTTAAATATTCAAGTATTGTGCAATATAATAAACAATCAATTAACAACCTTTAGCCATCTATTTTCTCTCTTATCTCTCTATGTACTCTCCAAAAGATACCAGGTCTAGTAGGGTATGAGTTTTCTTACACTTGAAGTAATGGAGAACTCATAATCAATGGATTCCTTAGGTATACCTTTAAACTCTAGTCATTTTATTTATATGATTGATTGAAAGATTTAACAGTATACACATGAAAGGAATTTATAATATTATTCTTTATTACCATGGATTTTTTTTTCATCAACATGAGAAAATATGAATTTTACACAGCGGCCGCCAATAAAACTTCTAAAACCGAAATTTCGATACAGAGATCACAAAACAATGACATAACAAGAGAAAAGGACGAATTCCACCTTAATATAGTTTAGCTTTTTATTTTATATGATTGATGGATTCAAGGAAGCAAATTCAAGCAGTTCAAGGTTTGTCTCCATCAAGGCCATATCTTGTTCGCTCAAAGTCACCCATGCTTCTATTCCTTTTCCATCACTCATATCGGTCAGAATAATAGAATTCTTTATCTTCAAAGAAGGAATACTTACCCACTTAGGTTTTCCCCACCCAAAATCTGCTTCATAAAATGCAAAACGACACCAACTTGTACAACCATAGAAATCTATACCCTCTTTGTACACCAATTCCAGGTCCTTCAATCCCTCGCACACTGTCATGAAAGCATTGTTTCCTTCTTGAAGTTTCTGGACATGCTCCTTTGTGAACTGTTCTAGACCTTTCCTTAGATGAATCACTAACCCTTGTAAGTTCATTTCACTGTCGTCATTATTAGACTCTCCTGGTTCTTCTGCCATAAAGTGACCTAAGAAATTTCCAACACAGGTCTCAGGTAGAGGTGGGCTTGTCCTTTTACGAATGTTTACAAACTGGGATACCATAGAGGGTCTTTTGGTTATTCCTAGGTTTGTTCTTGAAGCTATTGTGACACACTTCCAAATTAGTGCTAGTACTGCCTCCACTCGTGTTGGATTCTCCACCATTTTGCTTGCAGCTGTAGCCTTCAGTTTTGTTATCTTTGAGGAATCAAACACGAACCTGCTTGCACTCCATTTTAAATTCTATTTAATTTCATAACATCGTGTGATCCATGTAAATGAAGTCAATATAAAATATAAAATTTTTGCAAAACATTCTTTAATCATTTAAGTGGCTCTTTTACTTGAGAGAATGTTTACAAGTGAAATATGAAGTTTAGGAGCGTCTGGAACCTTAAACTTACTATCAGTGCAATGTTCTCCTTTGACATTTCAAAATGGTGCAATGTTACCCATATCATTAACAAATATTAACTTTAGCCATTGGTTGACCAGAAAATTATAGAAAAAACCCAATAGTTACCAGAAAAAAAGATAGAAATTTCTTTATCATTTTCTGTAATTTTTGGGTTCTTTCTTGTAATTTTCTTGGTCTTCCTTAATTTTTTATAGATTTTTTTTTGTAATTTTTAAGTTAACTAATGGTCAAAATTAACTTTTATTAATTGTAAGAGTGGCATTGTGCCATTTCTAAAAATTGAAAGAGAGCATTATACCAGAAATAAATTTAAGGTTTTAAATACTTATAGACTTCTTGTTTAAGGGTGAAATTATTCTTCAATCCTTAATTATTTCATAATGAATTAAGAAATAATTATAATTTTTGATGTCTAAAATTACGACCCTTTTACCTTTTTGAAAAGAAATAAATTCTGACTATCGGCGTTGAAATTTTTTATAACACAAGATTCCAACTTTTTATCAAAAGAAAGTAATTAAAAAGAACCAAAAACGAAAAGGTAAAAAAAAAAAAAAGAACGATTAGTATTGCTTTACCGAGTGAATTTTATCTGGAAGATGCGTAAACATTATATATGCTACCTTCTTGTAATGCAATTGAAGTGTCTGAACTCAACAGCAGGTAGAACAATTGGAAAATCCATCGAAGGGTAAAGAGATCCCAGAATATACTTAGGAAGCATCGACTCAGTCATGCACCCAACAGCTGCACAAGACCATGCCTTGATGAACGAACCAATTGTTGAAGCATCAGCAATCTTGTGAGACAAGGACACACCAATCGCCAAACCTCCACAGTCAAATAAATTCACTTGAACTTTCGCCAAAAACCCACTTCCTAAATGGGCATCATCGATGGGCACAAACTGGTGTACAGAGTCAGCATCGGGTTGTTTAAGGATGTCAGAGAGGAAGCCGCCATGGACACGAGCCTCGCAGAACTCGACACCTTCATCGTTACATTCAATTACGGCATTGTCTTTCATTCTGCCTGCCAGATGGTAGAAAAGCGTCAAGGTCTCAGACAATGATGTCTTTAGCCTTTCAAACCTGTCGTGATCGCGATCAGCAGCCTCGTTTTGAATATTGGGATAGAAATACAAGATTCGAGTGTGCATTACAGGAGCAAGCTGGTCAATGAAAGACAACTTAAAGATTCCGAGGTTTTGGGGTGTTGGAGAAGATGGCTTTATGATTTGTTTGGATACAAACTCAACCTTCATCTTGTGTGGCTTGATGAATATGGTTTGGATTTTGCAATGTCTCAAAATCTCGAGGTTCTAATGTCCTATCATACATACATACATACATACATACATACATATATATATATAGGCACACACTAACCACCCAATGGCTTAAATGGAGATTTGGATTTAGTGAGTTACTTAAGTTCACTCACTTCAATGAGCATCTCACATGATATAATAATAATCATTCAATTTAATTGAATTGCTATAAGAAATTTAGTTATATAATGTTTAGAAAGTATCAAATTTCAAATTTCTTTAAGGGGATAGTATACATAAAAAGTATTCTGATCATGATGATTGTTTTAAATTTTTGGAAGAAAATATATCTTAATAATTTTCTAATATTGACAAAATTCTATGATTATAATTAAGATACTAATTGAGTATGTGAATTTAAGCCACTCATCAATTCTGATCCAAACCCTAATAAATATATCTTGAAAATGTGTTTGGTAGGTCAGAAGAGTTCGCGTACGCGAAAGCGTGAAATGAATGAACTGATTTTCAAACTACAAGTCAACTATATGGATACACGTGAAAGAATATATAACAGCTATACCAGCTAGGATTTTGATTAGAAGATTTGATATGGTGCTCCAGAACCTAGATTCTAAAGAGGTTTGATGAATTAAAAATGACTACAGCTAATGCACGCGACACGCGTGGTATCTAGTGGCCAATTAGATTTAACAATGTACACCAACTGTTTAATTTGTGTAAGAAGTGTTTGTGTTTGGATAGTGGAAGAGATTCCTGAGATGATTTGATGCCTTAAAATACCAAGAAAGAACTATAGTTTAGGCCACGACATGAACAAGACAGATGAATAATTAGTTGGTGGAGATTGTTGTTGATGATACGTACGTATAATTAAAAACCTTTCTACACATGCCTAAAAAAAATAAAACACGAGAGAGAGAGAGAGAGAGAGAGAGAGAGATACGTTTAAAAATAAAAGAAAAATGAAAAGCTTTTTTTTTTCTCATTAATTCTTAATACTGTTTATGGTGAAACTGTTTTGCGGGAGAGGATCCTCTTCCTCTCACATCCTCTTCCCTTTAAATAATGAAATGATATGTCATGATACATTTTACTTGTAAGAATTGTGTTACTATATATATATATATATATATAAATTGTGTCATATATATATATATATATAGAGTTAAAGGACAATTTGTAATTTAACTTGTTTCTAGTATAATATTTCTCCTCCACTTTTGAAAATAGTGCAGTGATACCCTACTATTAAAAAAATGAACTTTGACGGTTAGTTATTCAAAAAACAGAAGAAAAGAAATGAGAAAATTACAAAAAAGGATAAAAAGTTATAGAAAATGACTCAAATTACAAATAAAGACCAAAAAATTAAAGAAAAGGATCAAGAAATTTTTTGGGTCTCTTTTTGTTATTTTAAAATCAATTAATGATTAAAGTTAATTTTTGTTAATGGTAGAGCTATGTTGCACCATTTTTAGAAGTTAAGGGAAACATTATATAAAAAATGATTTTAAAATTTTAGACACTCTTGGACATAACCTATTGCTAATTTAGAGGTCAAATTATTATTTCATATATATATATATATATAATAAAACAATTCAGATACGAAATGAGCTCTCCCATTAGAATGGAGTAAAATTTAAGCCCACCAAGCAAACATACATTAGATCAAAATCCAACCCTTATTCATTTCTCTACAGTGGTCATTGCCATCATCCAAAGATTTGAATGAATGACTTTTAAAAAGGGAAATGAAGAGAGAATTCCTTATCTTAATAAATATGTTTGGTATTTATTATTTAGCTTACCAAGAAGTTGATGCTTTTTAGTTCTTGTGAAAGAGAAGAAGGTCCCTTTTACTACTTGAGTTAAACGAATATGCTTCTTAGTAAAACAAAAACAAAAAATAAATTGTAAGGAAAATTGGTGAAAATGACCTTGTTGGAAGGAAAATTAGTCCCAAGGGCTAAATGCAATTGAAGGACCAAGCTAATATTTTATTCATTAAATAATTTAAATAAATGACCGGAATGCCCCTATGTGTTAATTAATTTTTTTTTTAAAAAGGTACAAAATTAGGTGGCTGGAGCTCTGGTAAGCGTATTGTCACTTGTCGAAGCTCCAGCTAGCAAGCAAAGTGTTGCCAGAAAGTTCATTGAAAAAAGTCAACACCCCTTGTTTACTTGTAATCATCAAAGATTACATGTAAACTCAAAAATTAGAAGGTGCAAAGATTTTAATTTATGGTGTAAAGGTTCTAACTTGGGTGTGAGGGATTTTATTTGGGTGCAAGACTTTTGGCATGAGTTATAAGGGTTATGACTTGGGCATAAGGTTTTTGGCTTAGGTGCAAGGCTTCTGGCTTGAGATGCAAGGGTTATGGCTTGAGTGCAAGGGGTTTAGTTTGGGTGCAAGGTTTTTAGCTTGGATGTAAGGGTCTAACTTAGGGTACTAGGCTTATTGTAATATCTTGAATTTCAATCCAAGGAACTAGTTGCTAATCAGGGGTAGATTAGTAATTAGCAGATGGATTATTATTTTAGATGATGGACTAATGTATGATGTTAATTGGTTAGTGTAGTTATAGGATTGAATGGTAGAATGACAAGTCGGGAAGAAATGCAGCATTAGTGATATTAACCTCACTGTGCCACGTGCTGTAATAGGTGCTGCATGCGCTGCAATGCATTGTATATAATTTACTTAAAGCTAACATGTTCATCTCATGAAATCAAAAAGAGAAGGGAGGAAAAATGTAGTTGAGAAGGAGAGGAAATTCATCTCTGCTAGGGCAACCATTATCTAGCCATTAGGAGTTTGCTTCGACCAGTGACTTGTTGGGTAAGTATCGTATAGCCCTATGCTACATTTATACCTAAATTTCTTTAAGTTTGATTAGTAGAGAAATTGAATCAAAAAGTTTTAAGGAATTGAAATATGAGGGAAAGGGTTAAAAAGGGCTTTCAGATACAAAACAAAGGTTTTGTGACTGGTCTAAAGTTTAATGGTTAAGTTTTAAGGATTTAAGCATAATTAACCTAAGTTATTAGGTTATAAAGGGAGAAAATTGATTAACAAATGAATTAAAAGGCTGTTTTACTCATTTGGATAGCTTAAAGGTCAATAGATATAGAGAATGAGTTATGTGAGCTTAAAATGTGCTAATTGACCTGCTTTATGCATTAAGGGGTTTGGCTTAGCCAAAGTAATGCATGTGTTATGTGTTAAAAATTGATTGAAGGATGTTCATTATGTATCAAGGGTTACTTAAGGAAGTAGAACTAACTTGAGAGGTTTAGTGCAAACAGTAACCCTTAGTAAGAAGGGTAAAAAGGTAACTGAAGTAACCCTTTTACTTATTAGTTTTTTAAATTACTTACAAGTACCTTATATAAAAGTGTTCATTGTGATTTATGAATTGATAGAGTAGCAATATTGTGAAAGAATGGTGCATGCAAGTGGGTGAGTGATGTAACATCCTAAGTTTTTCCATTAGTAATCATCAGTATTTTCAAAGGTAATTTGGTCAATTTAGATAAATTATTGATTTAGTGAGCGTTATGGGAGACTAATATGATTTTTGAATCCTTGGATAGCCTTAAAAAAGGGCTTAGTTGATGTTCAAGTTGGCCATGGCATGGAAGGGAGTTTAAAATTTTGTGAGATTTTTTGTGCCATGCGCCGTGGTAGGCGTGTCAATGCGCTGTAGTGCATGTGCAAAATTTACACTTATCAGATTGCGAATTAGACTCAAAAAACAGAAGAGAGAAAGAGGGATAACAAGAAAGCGATGGAGGAGAGCCTGTGGTCTACTAGGGCATAATCCCTAGGCTACTTTGGAGGCATTTGGAGCTTGAATCACCGTTGGGTAAGTTGCATATTCCCTCTTCTCACTCTTTTATGTGAAAATCATGATTGGTGGGACAATAGGGGCTTTGATTTCGGTTCCCTTAGGTTTAGACCAAATCCATTAGTTTATTTAAGGTCTTGGAGAGTTAAACCAAGCCTTTAACCCTAAGTTTATGAGTTTTATAGTGATTGAGAATTTTTGGTAAGGGTTTGGATGACGAACTCTAAGTATAATTTGAGGATTTTGAGATAATGTGAGATAGTGGTTAGCGAATTTAGTGTGTTGGGATGTTTAATAGGATGGTTAGAGTGTTTGGGAATGGTTGATGTTGTTAGAAAAGGAATTTAAGTATTTTAGACACTTAAAACCTAGAGAATTTAGAGTTATCTAGAGTGATAATTGATGATTGTCACTTGATTATGTAGATTGAGTATTACTCAAGCTATATTGTGCGTATAGAACATGTGGAGCTTATGTTGAACCACGATAACCCTTTTATATATGACAAAGGCTTAAGGTAACAGAATAATTTACACTGATTGATTATATTACTTAACCGTTTAAGTAGATATGTGGATTTAAACTTGAGACTTGATAGCCTTGCATATTGTGAAATATGGTTTTATGTTTTATTTTTGCAAATGATGAGTATGATGAAAGTTATATATAAATTAGTTGAGAAATTTAAAATGTTTATGTGATATATATGTTGAGGGTGGACATGATCATGTTAGGGGGTGGGAGTTCACTTGTAGAAAGGAGTAGTGAAAGTCTATATGGCATGTATCTCCTTAGTGTCTAGTAAGGCACGGTGTTGGAGATTTTCTCCTTAGTATCCATGCGGGATACGGCATTAGCGAGTAACGCTCCTTACCATTAATGATGTGGTGTTGGAATAACGACACCTCGATTCGTGTATGATAGGGGAAAACTGTAGCCTGGAAGTGGGATAGGACACCTTTAGCTGGCTGATCCTACAACTGAAGGCGAGCTTAGATCATTGTAAATATGTACTTAGTCTAAGAGCTTATAGTTTCAGATGAGGTGATATAGAGGCTTGGATGGTAGAATGATCATGCTAGTGGTAAAAGATTTGTATTGATGAAAAGAGTACGTGGTGATATACTAAATGTATATTTTAGAAGTTTCACAGTTTTGCTCTCTTATGG